GCCACTTTCTGGGAAAGGATCACTTAGTTTCTATCTTTGCCCTTATCCCTCCACAAACTGCTCTGATCAGCACCTAAGTGAATTCCAGCAGTTACATGATCCACATGGCCAGATTTGGGAGGGGGTTTGAGCCCTTCCCCTCAGCTGCAGAGACCCACTAGCACAGGGAGCTGTGCCTTCACCTTACAGCCCTTATTCTCTTGCTTCAACTCAAACTGGGGAGGGTCACAATTGCCTTTTTCCAGACAAAACTGCCCCAGCTCCAGCATGGATGCCCAGTGCTCTCCCCATCAGAGACTTTTGTCCACTGGAAGCAGAGGAGGTTCTGACTCTGAGACCCCAGGGCTCTTACCCGTTGTGAGTGACCAGGCACTGGCGCAATCCCAGCTTGCGGAATATATCCACAACAATTTCCATGGGTGTTTGGTCCGTCACTGTGAAGGGACTGAGGTCCAGGATGCTCCTGAGTTTCAGCATGGAGGGGGAGCTCGGAGGCAGTGGGGGAGAGTGGTCAGTGAAATAAATAACTGAAGTGCTCACGATCCCATCCTGCTTCCGGGCGTTTTCTGAAAGAAGAAATACATGATTAAAATCAACCCTCCTCCTTTCCTTTTCCAAGCTGAAGAGCATTCTTTTTCCTTTCTCTGACCACACTGGATGGCCATAAAAGTCCATTCCTTCACCTATCCTGTTCCCCAAAGCACCCACTGATCCAAAGGAGGGTGGAACATGTTTCCAGCCTTTCTTCTAATGGAATTACAGAATTGTTTGGGTTGGAAAAGACCTTTAAGATCAAGTGCAACCCACCACCACGTTCACCACAAACCGTGTCCTCAAGTGCCACATCCACACTTTTTTTAACATTTCCAGGGATAGTGACTCCATCACTGTCCTGAGCAGCCTGTGCCAGAGCTTGACAACCCTTACCACGAAAATAAAATTTCCCTAGTATCCAACCTATGGTCATTTCCTCTTGTCCTATCACTTATTACCTGGGAGAAGAGACAGAAACCTCCAAAGTCTCCAAAGTTCCACCCCAGGTGTGAGACCAGAATGTGCTTTGCCCAAGGCCAAGGCTGCTCCGTGTCAGTATTTAGCTCTGGAGATCACTGACCTCCCAGTTTTCAGAAGAGGTAAGTAAAATGCTTTGTACTTTTATGAGACTGATTTGGGTCCCATGCAGAGGAGTTAAAGGACTATTTTTAAGCACTTAACTACCAGCACAGGCTCCATGGATGTCACTAGGGTCAGGAATGGGAACCAAGTCAAGTACTGGCCATGCCTCAGAATTCCACAGTAGTGCACATGCAAGGAATGCAGGTACCTGCCACACTGCAATTTGGTATCAGCACTCCAAGATCCCCTGGGAAGGGGCTCACCTGGCAGCCCAAACACTAGGCTGGATATTTGGAATATTTGAGAATATTTGGGATATTTGACAATTGAAACCCAAATCCCATCCTGTGGTCCACAGCTGTGCATCACTGCACACAGCTTGGAGACAGGATAACTCTTAAAGAATCCTTTGAGATTCCGAGGAACACACATGCAGGAATTTGTGGTGGTACCACAGAGCTGCCCTACAAAAGGAATGTAGAAATGCAACACATGGAATGTAACAATGCACTTGTCCCTATATATTTTATTCCATATTGATATAAGCATTTGGCCAGATACTGAATCAGAACAAGAACAACAGTGGCATGCTCCAAAAACTGTACTGAACAGCGTAAAACTGAGGCTGAAACTTCACCTGAAAAGAGAGAGGGAACATGTGGAGTTAATCCACAGCGGCAGCAACTTAATTATAAAATCACTACAGCTCTGCCACGGACAAAGCAAGTTCACGACCCAGCCTGGTGCCCCCTGCCCAATCCTCACTCCAGTGCAGGTGCAATTTTTAAGGATTATGTGGCCATGTACCCCTCAGTCCTAACACACAGATTTCTCCCATCTCACCACAAGAAGCTACACTGCCTGCCCCACCCAGCCAGAGGCCACACAGCTGGAATTTCCACTCAGGGCTCAGGCTGGGAAAAAACACGTGCAGGTTTGTAAGGCACCCGAGAGCAAGAGGAACTGAAATATGCAGCAAATTATAATATGGCAAAGCTGTTTTCAATGGAGCTCAACTCACATCACAGAGGGAAACTGCCTCTGAGCAATGCCAGGACAGCATTTGCCACATCCAGCAGCACTGCGCCCCAGGGGCTCACAACCACCAACATGGGAGCATGAGTGACACCAGTGACAGAACAGGCTGACTGTCAGTGTGGAGGAAAAAGAAGACCTTAACCTCAGTATGGATATTTATAGGTTTGCCAGCCCCACAGAATCCCAGACTGGGTAAGGTCAGAAAAGACAGCAGTGGGTCGTGTGGTCCCACCTCCCTGCTCAAGCAGGATTATTCAGGAGTACATGGAACAGGACTCATTGAATTTAAAGGTTGGAATGGACCTTACAGACCATCTAGTCTTAACTCTCTCTGCCATGGGCAGGGACACCTCCTCACTGGACAAGGATGCTCAAGGCCTCATCCAGCCTGGTCTTGAACACCGCCAGGGTCGAGGCAGCCACCACGTCCCTGGGCAACCTGTGCCAGTATCTCACCGCCCTTAGAGTAAAAAACTTTTTTCTAATATCTAACCTACACTTCCCCTCCTTCAGTATGAATCCATTACCCCTTGTCCTACCATTGCAGTTCCTAACAAAGAGTGCCTCTCTGGCTACTTTGTAGGCCCCTTCAGATATTGAAAAGTTGCTATGATTCTCCACATAGTCTTCTCTTCTCCAGGCTGAACAGCCCCAACTTCCTCAGCCTGTCCTCATAGGGGAGATGCTCCAGTCCCCTTATCAGCTTCATGGCCTCCTCTGGACTTGCTCCAACAGTTCCATGTCCTTCTTATGTTGAGGACACCAGAACTGCACACAATATTCCAGTTTGTGTCAAGACAGCTCTGAAATATCTCCAGTGAGGGAGACTCTACACGCTCTCTAGGCAATCTGTTCAGTGCTCGGTCACTGCACAGGAAAGAAGTCCTTCCTCGTGTTCAGGTGGAATTTCCTGGGCATCAGTTCCTGCCTGTTGCCTCTTACCTCTTGCTGGGCACCATGGAGCAGAGTCTGGCTCCAGCCTCTGACACCTCCCTGAAGATTCTGACAGACAGTGATAAGGCCCCTCTCAGCCATCTTTCTCTTCTTGAGGCTGAAAGGTCCAGCTCCCTCAGCCTGTCCTCAGAAACTGAATGTTAAACATTGGGAGGGCTGCCCAAGGAGGGGGTGGAGTCCCCATCCCTGGAGGTGTTCAAGAAATGACTGGACATGGCACTTAGTGCTCTGGTCTAGCTGACAAGGTGGTGATCAGTCAAAGGTTGGACTCAATGATCTTGGAAGTCTTTTCCAACCTTAATGATTCTGTGACAAGCCACCCTGTCCTTCACATTCAATGAAAGCAGACCCCACACTGCTTGGGGATGCACCAGTAAACACAGCTACCAACACTAGAGGTGTTTGAACTGGTCAGGTTAATGACTGCTGGCATTTAAGGCTTCTGACAACATCTACCTGTACAGTCTCTCCTCTTACCGATTGAAATGATGAGGTCTCTCCTGAGGACAAACCCAACGAGGCGTTGGGACTCCCGAGACACCACCACGGGATAGCCACTGTACGTGGTTTCATTGATGATGGTCTCCACGTCCTCCACAGTCATGCTGTCCTGAGTGATGACTGTCAGAGGAGGGTCGCTCCTTCGCGGCCTCATGACATCCATCGCCAGCGTCTTGTGGGAGAACTCCTCCTTGGCTTCCAGGAAGGGGTATCCATTGAGGCGGATGTGCGCGTCATAAATCCCTTCACGCCCGATGGCATCAGCTACCCACTTGCTGGTCATGGCTGCTGCCATCAGAGGCACAATGTACTCCAGTCCCCCAGTGAGCTCGAACATAATGACCACCAGAGAAACAGTCATTCGTGTCACTCCACCTGCAGACACAGGAAGGCAGACAACACAAACAGTGATTTGGGGAGTGTCCAAGGGAGATGTGACCCCTGCCATCTAAAGCACGGCTTGGAATGGCAGAAGTTGTGCTGTTGGGCTCCGTGTCACGTCCAGCAGTGCAGCAGAAGCCAAACATGAGCAGAACAGCACTGAAACCCTTGTTTCTTGCCAGGACATCACACCATGGGCTGGCTCACAAGGGTTTACTGCATGGTTTTGTCTCAGTATATTTCAATTATGTTTTTGAGATTCAAGTCCCAAAGCTACTCCTAAACATTTTAGAGGAGTTTTGTTTCAGTACCCACCCACTAAAGGGACACAGACCCTTTAGCAATGCCTAGTCATAAACAAAACTGTTAATGAAGAAGAAGTGTATTTATTTTCCATCAATTACATGCAAACAATCCCAGAATGGTTTGGGCTGGAAGGAACCTTAATCACCCCATTCCACCCCCTGCCATAGGTAGGGACACCTTCCACTAGACCAGGTTGCTCCAAGCCACATGCAACCTGGCCTTGAACACTTCCAGGGATGGGGCAGCCACAGTTGCTTTGGGCAACCTGTGCCAGTGCCTCACCACCCTCACAGGGAAGAATTTCTTCCAATATCTCATCTAAACCAACTCTTTCAGTCCACTAAACCAGGTTGTCCAAACAAGGTGTATCCTGTCTAAAAAGGCCAAAGCATCTTGGTAGCATCTTGTTACTGTTCCTGAAATGACAGTTTCTCCTAATAAGGCAGTCCCTTAAGAGTTAAATGTATTACTCCATGGAGGAGAGGATTGGGAATTACAGTGAAAGCTAAGTTTGGTCACGTGCACCCAACCTCTCAAACTCAGCCAAAAGGAAGAAGTGTTACCAGAAACAAGGCACTTGAAAGCAGAATTGCATCATAAGGTTTAAGGAAGTAATATGAATTAGAACTCCACAGGAAAATTTAAGTCCCTGGGCAGCCTCATTTGTTCTGGCTCCCACTCAGGAGCTTCTCACTGGAGCCTGCTGTGTCCGATGCAAGCTTGCGGCATTCCACACGATGAGAAACTCACGGCACGCTCTACCACAATGTTTCCTGGGGTTCTTGAGGTGCAGCCAGCTTCAATGGCCTGCATCTCTTGAAATCGTAGACTCATTAAGGGGTTGGAACGAGAACATCTTTAAGGCCCCTTCCAACCCAAACCATTCTGTGGTTCTATGATTAAGGTTGGGAAAGACCTCGAAGACCACGAAGTCCAACCATTAACCCACTACAACACTTCTTCATGTGACCAACCAAGCCCCAACCCGCAGCCTGGCCTTCGGAACCCTCTGCTTACCCAGACATGCCGCGGCGCCCACCATGGCATAGAGGCCAGGTGTGATGCAGTCGGCTCCTTGGCTGCACCAGCCACTGAAGATGGCCCAGTCGTGGTGGTAAAAGGCCAGCTGCTCCATGGCCACCCCAAGCAGTCGGCCTGCAATGGCACCCACTGCCATGCTGGGGATGAAGAGACCTGAGGGGACCTGTGGAACATATGTCGGTAAGCACCAGCGCTCAAAGACTTCAAAGCCAAGTGATGGAACCTCAAAACAGACTGAGTTCGACCTTATGCTGGAGTTAAAATCATAGGACAGTTGAGCTGGAAGGGACGTTTTAAAGGTCATCTAGTCTAACTCCCCTGCAAAGAGCAGGGACATAAAAATTGTCAAGAATCCTAGAATCCCAGCCTTAGAACTCAACCAGTTCCACCCCCTTGCCATGGGCTGGGACACCTTCCACAAGACCAGGTTGTTCCAAGCCCCATCCAACCTGGCCTGGACGCCTTGCTCTGTCCCCTCTGTCTTTTCTGCATTGTCATGCTCCCAAGTCTCTGCAACAGGGCCTTGAATTTTCTCCTTTCTGAGCAGAAGAACCAGTCACACAAGAGGCTGGTGTGGAACAGAACCAGCTTTCTCAAAAGACAAAGTAACCAAGCTTCACCCTCACACCACCAATGCTCCCCCACGCCTTTCCAACCACACCAGGATGTGTTTATTGCAGGCATGGCATTTTCCCATTCTGCTGCCTTTGCATACTCAGAGTGGAATCATTCTCCTTCCCTGGCAAAAATGTAAACTTCCCCATGACAGGGAATTAGCACACGTAGCACAAGTGACACCCAGCAGAGCCACTGCCAGCACATTTCACATCTGTTGTGCTGTTTCAGGACTCAAAAAGCTCCTGCTGCTTGAAGTCAAGGAATTCCCACCTCTTCACTTTCCTTTCCACACTGGCCATGCAGCTTTCTCACACATTGTGTGTCTCTCTCTCAGACTCAATGACTGCCTTGGAATGCCACTGACAAACTCAGGGTAATGATGCCAAACCTCCGCAGTGGGGTTACCTTCCTGGACAGACCACTCAAAGACTGGGGGGCAGGGGGAGATGCTCAGCTTCACCTGCTGGAACCCACTGCAGGAAAGCTCAGACCTGGGCACTACACCTGCAGCTCCAGAGGCTACACCAGACAAGTTCCAAACCATCTGAACAAGGAACAGCTATGATTAAGTATTTACAAATTAAGGTACTGATTGCTTTGCAATTAGCTATTGCATCTATATGACATACACACCAGAAGGGTTTGAGTCAGGACAATTAAGGAGCATTCTGTGTCTGGAAAGGCATGAAGCCCTGAGACACCAGCTTTGTGACTACACTTGCTGCCCACACTCAGGCTAAAAGTTTTCTACTGCCCTCAGGCACAAGCAGCAGGGAAATAACTGCAGTCTGTCACCTTGTAACAGAGCTTGAGGGGAAACATGTCTTGTTAGGGAGGAAATAAAACTCAAAGACCTGCGGGTCCTCCAGAGGATGAGAACAACCTCAGCTCCTTTACAGGCAACTCTTACCTTCATGCCAAAGGTGAAGATGGTGATGAAGACTTTCATGATAAGGGCTAATGCCAACTGCCACATGGCAGTGTACACGCCTGGGCCAGCAGCACGGTCTGGCAGATCATCCCCCTTGGTGCTGTTGAAATCATTCACGTACTCGCAGAGCTTGGACGAGTCCAAAATCCCACAGTCATTGAAGAGCTCTGAAATCAGCTCGCTGGTGCTCATTCTGGTGTACTCGTTGGGGAAGGCCAGCACGGCTGTGATGGCTGTCACCACCAACACCTCCAACACTGGGTATTTGCCCAGCCGGGTCGTCTTGCGCCGCCTGCACCAGGCAATGTTGCTGCGAATGAAGAAAGCTCCCCAGAGTCCACCAAATATTCCCAACAGGATGAAGGGCACCAGCTCCAGCAAATGCCATGGCATGTGAAATTCCACATAGAAGAGAACAAGGCGGCTGTTCCCAAAAGGGTTGATGGAGCGCAGGGTGAAGGCAGCGACCAGCGCAGCGAAGAAGGAACGCCAGAGTGTCTTGAGAGGGAAGTAGTAACTCACCTAAAAGGGAAAACCAAAGCAGATTTGGTCACTTTTACACTTATCACTATCCCACTGCAGGATGTAAAGCCAGGATTGAGATTCATGTGCGCTGGCTCACTCCTTCCTCTCCAACACCCAAGGCTTGGTTTGGAGCTCTCATTCAACACAGATTGCAATGCTCTGAGCCTGGGGCGATGGGCTTTGGCCTCCACACTTCCACTGTAGCAAGTGTCCTCTGTGACCACTGAAGCAGAGGCAACTCACTTGGATAATAAAAGCTGTTACACATCAGCCATGAGCTGAATCTGGAGAACTATGTGGCTCTGCAAAGTTCAAAGTGCCAAACAGCAGCACCTGCCATTGCTGCCACCAACTAATGCTCAGCTGAGCAAAACCATTCCAGCCCTCCTCTGAAATCCTTCCTGGCCCTCCTCTAAAAACCATCCCAGCCAGAGAATTTTGTTCCCAAGGCCAGACCTGCCACAAGACAGTGGACAAGAGAACACAGCCTCATGGCCTCAAGCTGCACCAGGGGAGGTTCAGGTTGGACATGAGGAAAAATTTCTTCACGGAACGGGTTGTTAGACATTGGAACAGGCTGTTCAGGGAAGTGATAGAATCACCATCCCTGGAGGTATTCAAGGAATAACTGGATATGGTCTAGCTGACATGGTGGTGATTGGTCACAGGTTGGACTCAATGGTCTTAGAGGTCTTTTCCAACCTAAATGATTCTGTGATACTACTCTAAACAGAAAACACAGCTGTGGCTGTGAGCACGGAGTGATGCTGAGCATGGACAGACCACGGGAAACCACCAGGTTTACAGCAAAGCTACAGACAAACTTAATTCAAAATAAATTCTTCTGTATTTGTAATACTGACTTGAACCCCCAATTAGCTTTTAGGTTGCTTGGCCTTGTACACACAGTATTACAGAGGTTCTACTTTGTGCACCCCAGCAGTCACGGCCGTGTTTTTAACTCAGCAGGGTCAATTCTGCACCAGCTCACCAAGAGCAAGCAGAAAACACTGTGGTTACCTCTTCAAGGCTGAAGAGCACTCCTCCAATTGGCGCACCGAAAGCCACCGACACACCAGCCGCAGCAGCTGCTGACAGTACCTGAGGAAGAAACCAAAGGCAGTCAGACTTCTTGGCCCTCTCAACCATCTCCCTTTTTAGTTTGTTTTCACTCAAATTTGTACAATGTTTATCTCCAGCAAGTGCACATTCAGCTAGGTCTGACCTGCTTTAAGACAGCAGGGCAAAGGTGTAGTGAGCCAACTCCCTAGGGAGCGGTAGCTCCAAAAACAATTAGTGTTAGCATTTCAACAGTCCCAGCCTCAAATTAGCAGAACTGGCATCACTGGCAACTACGTTTTCTGTTTCAGCTGACTCCACCTTAGACAAAACTTCAGTACAACACAAAGAGCAGTAATTTCACCTCCCAAAACACCCTGACTTTTCCTATCTCACACTCTCACCGTGTCTCAGCAGAGTGCCACATCACACAGTGTAAATGGAGGTGCTATGG